CACCTGAAGAAATTGAAGTGCGTACATTTAAACAAAATATAAAACGTAGAGTTATAAATGAAACAACAGCAATAGCTAAAATTTATGATGAAGAACTTGCTCGGCAACCAATGTCACAAACAGCAGCTGCTATTATTCCATCATCATATGAAGCAAGTATGTATACATTTTTATATTCGTCTTTGTCAGAATTTTCTGAATTACTGAATTACTAAATTAATTTCAAATTCAGGTTTAAATCGTGCACGTAGAAAAATGACACCAATATTACCAAAGTCATATGTATTTGATATACCAGCGCAATATCAGGTTACACTTGGTGACGAACAGTTTTTATTATGTGATAAAACATTACATAATAAACGTTTATTATTATTTGGTACAGATCAACAATTAACATTTCTATTTTCTGCCAAACATATTATGATGGATGGTACATTTGATACATGTCCACCCTATTTTGATCAAGTTTATACTATTCATGCTATTAAACATGAAAAAGGTACGAGAACTTTTCCTAGTGAAGTTTTTATTAACTACTCATTTTTTATTAATACTTTTTTAAGGTTATCCATGTGTCGTTGGTTTATTATGTGATCGTAAAGCTCGTACTTATACACAATTATTTCGTGAATTGAAACATCATGCTACTCGTTTAAAAACAACATTTAATCCAAATACAATAACAAGTGATTTCGAAAAAGCTTTAATCAAAGCTGTTGCTGATGAAGTAAGAGTTTTTAATTAATTATCTAACACAATAGAAATGCACGGTTTTTTCAACCTCGTTTTAGTTTCCACAAGCACGACATGTCGGCTGTTATTTTCATTTTACACAGGCTCTCTATCGTAATATACAAAAACTTGGTTTAACAACGGCTTATCGCGATAGTGAAAGTACAAGAATTGTATGTCGAAAGTTAATGGCATTACCATTATTACAATTAAATGATATTGAATTGGCATTTGAAGATTTAAAAGATGATTCACCTGTTACATTACGCGATTTATTTAATTATTTTGAAAATTTTTGGATGACAGACATACCACTTCATCTTTGGAATGTATCTGATCTTCAAATTCGAACAAATAATAATTGTGAAGGTATTTATACACACTTGCTTAAGCACAACTAACACAATTCTTTCAATAAAACTGCTGAAAAAATCTCCGGCTAACTTTTCTTCCGTTTATCAAAACATTCTCTCTCGGTCTCTAGGTTGGCACAATAGATTCAACATTCGTGTGAATAAACATCATCCAAATATATGGCATTTTATCAATTGTTTAAAACAAGAAGAAGTCTATTTTCGTCATCAAGTAATACAAATGCGAGCTGGTGCAACTGGAAGACAAAAAACAAAAAAGACAAATTGCGTGCAGCGTCGTATTGATACTCTTAGTGATCGTTATGAAAATGATGAAATAAATTTAGAAGAATATTTAGAAGGTTTATCATTTGGTGTTGCTAAAGATAAAACAAAAAAAATAAATAAAAAATGATTGATTATTAGATTTTTTTGTTAAATTACGGTTTGTGTAAAATGATAAAAAAAATAGTTTCGCACATTTTTCCTTTCCCCGACAACATGAACACTACTAAGATCTTACACTTGCCATCTTCGAACTTTTCGACATTTCTACTTTCGACATTTTCGGTTTTCGATATTTCTACTTTCGACATTTTTCCTTTCGACATTTTTAATTTTCGACATTTTTCCTTTCGACATTACTCAGGCATACCAACAAAATCAAGAGAATATGGCTTGCGAGATGAATAAGCGAAAGCGACATTCAAGACAATTCAATCTGCGATTTGTTTGGATTGACGAACAAAAACACTTGTCTCAAGCAGTTGTCGCATTGGCTCAAAACGTTGGTCTAACGGAATTAACTGAAAATGATATCGAGATCTCACACAGACTGGATCCAGGCAAACCAGGATATAATCGTGTGGTAATTGCTCGTTTCCATTCCTGTGTTAAAGGTCGCTCTCCATTAATCAAACGAAAAGAGTTGAAGCAGTCTAGTGCTGTTGTCATCTATGAAGATCTCATAAAAGTCGACAAACATTTACTTGATGAGCTGAAGTATCGATCAGCAGAGGACGATAGAAAGTATGCATTTACGAGAAATGGGCGTGTCATGTACAAATATGAAGATAAAAAGGTTAGTTTTATTGACTCATATGACGATATTGATTATTTTTTGCAATGATAAATAGCATTTTTATTATTTTCAGTTAGTTCTTCTGCAAAAAATTTCATTTTTCTCCTCCATGACCTTTTCACTTTAGGTAGATAAGATTTATTTTACTCATTCATTGGGTTTTTTGTTTATCCATGTGGACTTTATACAAAGAGTAGTTGATAATACCATAGCATGATAGCTGACAGATTTTTCTCTCTTCATTGTTTCAGTTTTCCACTGAAAATATACAAATACATATTTTCTTCTCTTCTCATCGTCTTAAACCATCAGACATGTGTCTCTCCTCTTCTCTTCTCACCCTAGAATAACTCTTTTTGAAAGTGCTTTGTTAAAATACTAGAGACACAACACTTTATTGGGAGCTACTATATACAAGCCCCCCCTAAAAATTCTGAACGCTTGGACAGTTTAGAAGCTCCGGAGGCTTCTGTTATAGGGGGGGGGGGGGGTTTTTACCCATTTTTTTTTTATAATTTGTCAGCACGGAGGTTTGGGAATATTTTTTTGTGAAAAAAAAAAACGTTTAAAAATTGGGGGGGAATGGGTTAAGCCACAGC